AATCTGGTCGTGCCATATCATATGATTTCAAATGACCGGATGCATCAAATAGAGGAATTGATCTACAATATTGACTTATATATAAAGATATGTTATAGAATTAATACCCGTAAGCATCACTTGATATTGTAATTTGTTTCAATGGTAACTTTTCATTACGGAATTTATTTAATAAGTTCACTGTCGTTGTTCTATTGTAATAACTAACATCAGCTGTGAAATCACATGTACCATTAGCTTTAATCCATTTTTTAGTTTCTTCAATTAATGGATCTCCTCGCGATGACATATGAGTTGGATAAATATGACGAATAGGAATTGTTGTTTCGTTTAAAATTTGCCAAAGTATATCAAGTTTTGTAGGACTTGAACCCAAATGGAAATGTATGATACCTGCTTTGCCACTAATCATTCCACCAACTCGTGCATCACTAAGTAATTGTATGAGATCAGATTTTGATGGCCAACTTGAACGATGATCACTAAGAGCAAGTTCACCAGCACCCAAAACTTTATCAATAAAAATTAAATCTTGTTGAAATGAACCAGTCAAAGTAACAATAGGAATTCGATAACTACCAACCCACATCCAAGTTGATATACCATCATGTTCTAAACTCTAAATGATTTCAACAACTAGATGTAATCTATTTATAAACGTATTATTAAATGATTTACCTTCATTTTTTGCAATAAAGACGAAAGACTAAAAATAAGAAAGATTGATATTATAAAATTATGAAAATACATTTTACTAACCTTCTTGTTATTCCATCTGTTCCAAGTATTCCAATGACTGTTGTTAGTCCACCATTAATTAATTCTGATAAACGACTTTCAGCAGTTCGAGAATAGGGACCTATGATAAAAATCAAAATCAAAAAGGGCATGTTCATATTCTAAACAAACCTTGTTCGCCTCCACCTCCAATAGCATGAATATGTGGATCGATTAAACCCGGCATAACTATTTGATCTTGAATAGAAATTGGTAAAATTTGTAAATTTTGATTTTTCATAGAATTAATAAATGATTCTGTTTTTGATGGTTCCATAAAAGCTAATATTCTTTCACCTGCAATGATTACATCCATTTGTTGAGGTTTACATACATGTTCGGAATTTATCAGAGTAGTAGTATTTGTTAAACCGTATACTTTTCCACCAGTAAGTACAATCATTTGATAAGATTTATCAAATGGAGACGGTGGTTGTTGCCGTGAATCCGATGTTACTCGTCGACGATGCTAAAAGAAATCGATCATATTATAATTCAAAAATCAATATAAGTATTATATTTAACGTACTCTTTTATAATGAGAATTGCTTGAACAACTGATAATTAATAATATAAAAACATAGATTATCCTTGGTATCATATGAGCCATTAGAATCTATTGAAGAAATAATAAAAATAGTTTTGTTATGACAATGAAGTATTGATACTGAATTAGTTGAAATATTTTCTTTTATTAGTACGATAAATATGAAAAATGCATAAAAAAATGAATGTATTTGTTCTGTTTGTACAGTGATAGTCATGTTTTATATCCATCATACTAGAAATAAGATCAAAATGAACTAACAGACGAATGCATTGTATGATAATACATGAAAGGGACAGATAGAGTGAGAGTGTATGAAGTATACGACATATGAATGAAAGAACATGTCATTGAATGTCTGATAATATACAATCGACACACACATTCATTCAGTTTATATGCACTTCTGAATATTTGTCAAGAAGAAAAAAAAAGTATAAATAATGATAAGAAAATGAAGTGGTACATATTTTACAACTTCTATTGATGAACTCTTTCAATATCAATATAAAACACACCATAATCTATCAAATAGATTGAAGAAATAGAATAAAATACTCATTATTCATGATTTTTCAATTAGTTTAATGATAATCTTTCGTAACAGAGAAGAAATATAGAACAATTTAATTCACAGGATTAATAAAAAGAACATGCCATAAAACATCTGAAGAATCAATTTAATAATTACGCACACCTTCAATTAATATTATGAGTGAAATTTCTATTTTTGAGTTGATAAAGATTATCTTCATTCGTATAATAAAGTTAATGCAGAGAACAACAAATGTTATCTTTTTTATATCGAGAAATATTAGCATAAAACATGCAAATAGGTACTTTCATCTTACTCTTTGTATATGTTTTGAATAAAAGAAAATTGTCTCTACAAATGAATGTATTTTATTTCAATAATAAAGATTCAAGAATATTACTGTTTCAGAATTAAACAATCGAATGTAATTCAAATGAAAAATATTAAATTCGATTTTACAATTATCTTTTTTTTTATTTCGTATGCATATGAATTGAATCTTTTGGACGAACTACCAATTTTACTTTTTTCCTCCAATCGTCGCACAGCACGCACACATATGTCATACAGATTAAATACCTTTACCCTTTAGATACATCATCTATTTGTCTTTGTCTTAAGAAATATTGTCTATTTGTCTTTTTCTACATTTTATCTTTGTCATATCATCATAGTATAATGAAAAAAACAACATACGAACAAACTATATACTGATAGCAAGCGCATATTTTTATTTCTGTTATTAATTGTTTCCAATGATCGCTAATTCTGTTCGTGTATTTCCTCAGGAGGATACACCTGCTCTTATACTGCCTCAAGAGAATATTCCTGCTCTTGTACTGCATCAAGAGAATACTCCTGCTGTTGTATTTCCTCAGGGGAGTACGTCTACTCATATACTTTATCCCACACGATTCTATATTCTCGGTATATTTTCCTTTCTTGCTTTTAATCAATGTGCATTTTGGTTGACATTCTCCCCTGTCTCACCAAGCACTCAAATTTACTATAATATTCCATCATCTACCGTCGATCTCCTTCTCAATTGGGGACCTATCATATTTATTCCAACTCTTCCACTGGTCTATCTCCTTCTTAATAAACGAAATGGACTTCGACGGGCTGTCATTGTCTTAGCTATCGCTGGCTTAGTATCCACTGCCCTGCGTGTTATACCTTCGATTGTAACATCTCCATCAAGTCCTCGCTTCAAAAATATTTCTCTTCCATTTCTTCATGCTGGTCAAATTATTAATGCTGCTTGTGGACCTTTAGTAATGGCACCTGTTTCTCAATTATCATGTCTCTGGTTTGGTCCCGGGGAAAGAACACGAGCTACTACATTAGCTATTATGGCAAACGTTTTTGGTTCAACTGTTAGCTTTCTCGTCAATCCTGCAATCGTCTCTCGTCCTTCAAATCTGCCCTATCTACTTTATTTTCATCTAGCTTTGGCATTCGTAGGTGCAGTTATTACACTAATCTACTTTCCTGCTCAACCACCCACTCCTCCGTCAGTTGCAGCTGAATTGCTTATGCAAGAGGGTAATCAAAGTTCAAATTCCGGATTTAAAGACTTCATGAAAGGTCTTCGAACATGTATGTCAAATTTATCATTTGTTTTACTTTCAACAGCTGGAGGTATCATGAATGGAACCTTCGCAGTGTGGGCTGGATTATTTTCTTCAATTCTCTATCCTGAATATACTGAAACGCAAGCTGGTAAATTTAATATCTTTTTTTCGACTTCATGTAAAGATAATATCCAATCATTCGTTTTTGAGAATGCATCCTATTCCGCGATGTTGAACATTGGAGGAATCAAT